GCTACATTTGAATTTGTATCTTTAACTTGCTTCGTATGCGTATTTTTAGCTCTTTCTGTATCTGTATCTTTAACTGCATTTAATATTGTATCTGTATCTGTACCTGTATCTGTATCTGTATCTGTATCTGTATCTGTATAACTATTTATGTATGTATCTGCATCCTTATTTGCATTTGTATCTGTATCTTTACCTCTAGCTTCATTTATATCCTTTGCAGCATCTCTATTAGTATCTGCACATGTATTTGTATCTCTATCTGTATCTGTTTATGCATCTACATCTGCATCTGCAACTGCATCTGTCTTTTTGTGGACCTGGCGCTGGCGCTGTTGGTAATTACATGGCTCTACTGACATGTTCGTGGCGCTCTGCCCGCTGGCTGCAAATTTACGAGTGTTTTTGGGCCAAAATAAAGCGCCAATTGGAGGCGGAAGCCACAAAGCCACATTAATTCAAACAATGCGACTGACTACAGAGGCCGAGTTCAGCTGAAATGCGGCTTGGAGTTAGTTTTCCTTCGTTTTTTTTTCGAAAGTTTGTGGCCTCGTCTACAGCTGCAATGTGAAGTGGGCGGTGCCGGGGTAGCCAGCGAACAGCGCACAAGACCCCAAACTAAAAACCCATAAAAGCTGTTCAGCATGCCATCAATAAAAAAAAAAACAGGAACAACAACAATAACAACAGAATGCACACAGAGCGAGCCTTGGCCAAGAAAAATGTCGCTGCCACGGCAAATGGCAACAATTGTTGTGCTCAATCCTGGCTCAAACAGCTAAAAACGGAGGACGTAATTGAGCCGCGAAAGACGTATGACCATGGTCCGGTCCAGTCCGGCCATGGCAACAGGTAAACCCAGCCAAACGGATCGTTCGTCATGGGCAATTGGCAAATGCAGCCCCACAGCAAGTCTCGGCCAAATGAGTCTCGTCCAGCTGCTGGGCAGACAAACAGATCAAGCGCAGATAGTTTTGTTTGTGCTCGAGTCGATCACTCATCCAAAGTACAAAACGATCCGCCCGCCGACGCTGCCGCTGACTGCTCCCGCACAGCATTTACTTTGGCTGTGGCTCTTGCTGGCCAACAGGAACCGCTTGAAAGGCCATTTTTGGCTTGTAACTGGCAACGACTTACGACTTACGACGATCTTGATCACAGTTTGAGCGTTTGTCTGCACGTTGCAAGCTCATGAGTTCCAATTGTTCAAGCCATGTAACAAGCACTTTGCCAGTCTCCCTCTCCCTCCACTCTCTCCCTTTCTTTCTCTGCCTCTGTCTCTATCTCTGTTTCCTGTATGTACAACATGCCATTTGGAGCGCTTCAAAATTGTGGTAACCCCGATTACAAGACGATGCTACGTTTCTGGGTTAAGACCCTTTTCAGGCAACCTGTTAACTGCTGCCTTTTGATACCCTGTACTCATTAAAATTATATCAGCAGGGGGTATACATGCACTACTTGTGCAAGTGTTTGTGATGCATTTTATTATTACTGATCAGCAGAGGAAAGTTTGGTTGTCAATCAGTCGAATGCGGCCTGGTAGAGTTAACTCAAGTCCGAGCCTGTCAGCTCTCTTTCTTATTCTCAAAAATCGATAAATGTAGATTTGCTTGATCTCAAATTGATAAGTGCTAAATATATATCAAATCATACTCAAGAGATCTTGGCACACATTTAAATGCCGTTTTGTAATCAGGATTAACTACACGGTATCTGCTATTCTAGCACTCTCTTTAGAAGCACTCTTGTTCATAGTGGTTGTTGTTGTTGTTGTAGCTGCTGCTGATGCGCATTGTTGTTCAGCTGGCCGCCACGGCGGCGGCGTAGCTGCCCACAAGCCCAGCCCACTGCAGAGCCGAGAGGCCGCGCGTATCTTTAAGATACTCGCAACTGACTGCACCAAGGCAATTAGATAGCAGCCGAAACACACACACACACACACGTAGAGTCGGGCACGTTGATGAGTTTATGGCAAAAATTGATTTCCAGTTGTCGTTGTTGGTGTTGTTGTTGCTGTTGCTCCCGTTGCTCCTTTTGGCTGGCTTTGATTGGCAAACTGTGTTTGTCTTCGGAAAATGGCATTCGTTATGTGGCAGCAACTGCCTCATACGTCCGTCCGTTCGTCCGTCTGTCTGTCTGTCAGTTGGTTTTAGTTGCTGTTGCCATCATTTAATTGCCCATTTTAATGAGATTTTTCAGCGTTTTTCCCGCTGTTTGTGGCTGTTTTCCTTTTTTTTTATTGCAACGCCTGCTTTCCACTAGAATCCGACGATCGACGATCTCAGCAGCGCTCAGCTGCAAGATTGGGCGTATTGTGTTTGGGCGTCTGCAGATAACAATTTACATACAACTCCTTGTAAGCACCCCCCCCCCCCCCTCTCCGCCACCCCTAGCCACACCGACCCCTCTTGCACCGATGAAAATTAGCGATTGTGGCGATCTTAACTGTTGCGCTCAGAGACTGAGAGGAAACAGTTGTCAACCGGGACAAGATCTGCTATTGATAAAAATTTAAAACCGTAAAGGAAAAAGCCATCAATATGTGCATGTAACTGGGTGAATAGATAGATACCCTGCACTTTTATACTGTTCTTGGGTGTATACATCATTTGGGCAGCTTAATTATTGCTGGTTACTTGCGAGATTTGATGCTATTATCAATCAAAATTAAGGTTTAATGCAAAGTTCCCCAAACTAAATTTAAATAAAAATAAATAAATAATAATAAATAAAACAAAAAAAATCCATTATGATTTTTTATGAATAATCCTAGCTAATCTTTTTGTATGTAATCTATATTATTATCCTTTTATGATGTATATTTAATCATTTTATTATCATGGGGTAAAGAATTATTCTACCAAATAAGCTTTCATATAGCTTCGGCTAAATAATTCCACATCCATAAACTAGCCTGGGCTGCGAGCTGACATCATTTAAGAACTTTCCAGTTCCCTCATCAGCAGACATTGCTATCGAGTCTAGGAGCTCAAATGTCTGAAGCCTTCTTGAGAATTGTAAGCGAAAAAAGCAATACAAGCATTTTCAGTTCTTTGAAACCTACCATAAACTAATTGTTATACTCTGTTCACAAAGTAAAAAGGATTATATTTGTCACCAAACTAGTTAAATAAATAATTGTATTAAACTAATGAAAGATTCACAAACTTTGGCCAAATGCGGCTGCTCTCCACTAATGAACATAGACATAGAGAAACAGTTATCACGCCATCTGGAACCAGACTAACATAATATTTCTATTTAGCATAAGAACAAAGCGTTGCGATCGATCGATTTGCATATGCGAGGCAAATGCCCAAAGTTGAGCTGTGTTTTTAGCATTCGTGGGTACTATACCTTATTTCCATAATCCAGAGTAAGTATATTAAGAGTTTGTTGTGTATTTTCCACATGGCTACGTCGTTAAAGAAAATGCGAGGCAGACACGAACACAAACACGAACAGAAACACAAATACAATTCTTCATATTCTTTTCACGCTAAATGTGCGGATCGGAAACTCAAGAACTGGCCATAGAAAATTTGTCGAGCTTTGCACAATTACACCAGGCATATTTATGTTTTTATTACTATTGTTATTGCTCTTCTGGCACTGGGCACTCTTTGGGTATATATATATTTATATATATATATATATATTTACTGATGAATCGCTGCCATTGGATGCCGCTTAGCTATTGGACGCCTGTTTTATTATTAATGAACCGAAAGAGCAGACGACAGCAAAAATGCGACTGAGATGAAGTTGGAGAGACTCAAGCTGAGATTGAGATTGAGTTCACAAATGAATGAAAGAAATGCGTTGCCGAAATCCACTTGATGTATATGTGTTCATATGCTAATTAACACCTTTCGGGCGGCGCTTTAAATTAAGTCATCGCCCAAAGATTGGATCACTTGTCAGGCCCGAAGCGCGAGGCTGTGCTTAGACACTCAGCTCGTTTATCACGCGTCGCGTTGCGTTCCATTCATGCAAATAACTCAGCTCCGAGCGGACTGCGGATATCAGCGCATCATTCATCAGGCCAACAAACCACCGCACCACCGCACCGCCGCACCACCTGAGCTGTGGCCACACGACGTCGACGTCGTCTTCGTCTTCGTCTGGCTGTTGTCCGACTACACGACTTTTTAATTTATGATAAAGCGCCTCCGACTGTCACAACCAAATTGCGGCAATAACCATAAACGGCGCAGCAGGTGAAAACTACCAAAAAAAAAAACCAAAACGTATATAAAAACGAGACAGAGCAGAAGAATACTCTGGCGAGCGACTCTTTGAATCGTTTGAATATCTTTCGAGTGTTTCGTATGTTGTATGTTAATTCACAGCGCGCGATAAAGATGCGTTTTTGGCCGCAAGAGCCGCCACCGCCACCGCTGCCGCCACAGGAGGAATCGTCGGCATGCTGGAAACGCTTGAAAGGCTTAGACGGGCTGCCCGGGTGCCGAGATTAACATAAATGCGGCTCATTAGTGACACAATTAAAGACCAGAGCCGACAGATGCAAACGATCCCAAACACGACACCACGCGACGCCACACGGTTTCGTATTTGGCTTCGGATTGGGTTTGATTTTTGTTGTTGTGTTTTTTTTTTTGTTTTTTGAGACCCGGGTCAACCGTTGAACGCGCTTGTCGTATAAGAACTGGCAAACAGCCAGTTGAAATGAAATTCAAAAAACTATTCAATCAGCTGGCGCAGCGAACATGTTTGAGCCGAGTTTGAGGAAGCTGCGAGCGAGCGAGGGCCGACATGAAAGTTCATGAGAGCTTAGAGCATAGAAAATGAGCTGTCCCTAAACACATATATATATTACTATAATACATTAATAATAAATAATACTATAGTTAATTACAACAGCTTTAGCTCATATATATATATATATATATATATATATATATATATATAAATATATATATATATATAAATATATTTTATTTTATAAGATAACCTAATATGAACCTTAAATGTTTCAGATCAGTCTTCAAAATGCAAGGACTCCTGCCTTATATGGGCTTAAACTCAGGTAAGTACAAGTTATGTTTATATTCATTTATAATTTAATATTTTCTGAGTCTCATAAGTTTCAAGTCCATTTGTTTGCTAGTGAATTTTGTGAATACTTTAAATACTTCAAGCGTAACTGTTTGACCCAGCCTCGTTTCGGTTCGTTGTTTGCACAAAGGTTGGCTGCAACATGTTGCAAGCTGCCCAGATCGGCAACAGATCCTTGCACGTGAGTGCAGCAAACGAATTGAGTCCATGTCTGGCGTCTGAGCCGTCATTGGGGCCATTAATGCCCATTATTGTGGCTTGATAATGGCTTGGGAAAGCTTTTCACTCGCTTCTCTCAAATTGTGACGGCAATCAAATCAATTATTTATCGATGCGGGAAATAGTCGTGTTAACGGCCTCGGGTTAAACTCAAGAATTCGTTGGCCAAAACTCTTGGGCGGGCGGGCGAGCCGGCGGGGGAGCACAAGCATTTATCAAATGGCCAACAGGTGATTTGTCAGCGCACTTCACACACACACACACACACTCGCACGCACACCCATCATGTTCATCAATGTTTATTTACAAGTGTTTTTCATGCCATTTTTTTTGTCGCCGTCAGTTATTTTTTATTTTCTCACAAATTTACAACTTGTTTAAATTTGCAACAACCACAGCGATTATTGCAGTTAGCAGCTTACTATTTTACAAATTGTTTTTTATGCCCTCAGTCTATTGAAAATGTATAAAAATAGGGTATATTGTTTTTGTGCAAATGTATGCCACAGGCAGGAGGAAGGAAGCATATATGAGCACATGTTGTGTATAAATTCTTGATCAGAAGTTGGTCTATATATAATCTGTAATACTTTACGCAGAAAGAGTTGGAGCTAGATACGGAGCTCTTTACTATAAAGAGCATACAGATAAAAATGATTTCACTTTTTGGACAAAGCCTTGCTCTTTGCTATGCAGGCACTTTTTTTTAACATATTTATGCCCTCATAATCTTGTGAGAATCGTACTATAGAAACCGGAGTTAATTGAGAATGGATTTTGCATAGCGTGGAGGCTAATAATAGAAGAAGCACAGACTGCATAGAGTACTATATAGATAGATATACTATACTAAAGACTAGGTTTGTATGGAAGTAGCCTGGAGTGCCTGCAACGGCAGCTTGTCACTGGGCTGAGGGTATCTGCCAGTCGTGCACGCCCGACTAGAGCACTCTTCTTTTATATTTGTTTTTTGATTTTTATTTTGGTTTTTGCAGCATTTGTTCAAAGTGATTTATTGTCGCTTATTTACTGCCCGTTGGCCAATTGTGAAATTTGTTTCAACTGGCCAGCTACGCGCTTCTGCCACAGTAGCCGCTCGCCCAGTCACAAAACAGCTTGACATTTATAAGGGGAGAGTGGCGGGTTGGCTCTGAAAGATGGCGAGGGGAGAGGGAAGAGGGGCGTGGGTCAATTAATGCCGTCGTCTGGCGAGTCCAAGACACATGGGGCAGTGGCAACTGCGCTGTCTCCTGTGGGCCAAGTCTAATGCATTTCTTGGATACGTGTCGCTTTAATTGATTTACCATTTATGCAAATATCGGCCAAGTGTTTGTTAACATGTTCTGAACTTGGCTTTCAAGCTCTGCAAGCTGCATACAACTAGTATATATATATACATATATATCTTAGGCTTTAGCATGAATTGATGACATTTTAAGTAACAGTCGGTCGCTTGGCTTATTAAATGCAATTACGTTAATTTACACAATTTTGTTCAAGCGTTGACAGGCAATAACACAGTTCATAACTCAGCAAATCGCAGCAGCAGCAACAATAGCTACAACAACAACAACAACAACAGTGAGGAGAACAACAACAACAACACACAGGTGTTTGTCATGGCCCATTGTCTCTGGCAGCGAGTGCTATACTTAGTTTCGATTGTTAGTACGTTTTTTTCGTTATACCCTTAAACCATTGAGAATGGGCAACGAGGGTATTACGGCTAAATGCCAAGGTATGTAACAGAGGGCAGAAGAAGACATTTCTGATCCCGCAATGTACATAAATTAAGTGTCGATCTCATGAACTACGAGAGTTAGATATAAATAATAATAAGATAAAATAAGATACCAACAACTTGCCCTTGACTTCGATAAGAATAGTTATCGGTGTATGGGATTTTTCCAATGTTAGTCAGTTTCTCGCTGGTTCAGAGTATCTGTAAGTCGGTCACTCCCAACTAGATCAGTCTTAGTTGTTTTCTTATTTATTTGCAGCTTGCAAACGTGACTCATCATCGCTGGCATTAACTGTAATTTGGTTCCTAGAAAGATGAGCCAGCCTTCATCAATAGCTATTCGCTTTGGGCCAGGCTGTAAAGCTCTTCGTCTCTCCCTCTATCAAATGGCCAATTGTTGTCATTCTTTGAGTGTTACCAAGATTAACAGCTCATTGTCGTGCACAGCTGCGGAATTTTATTATACACTGCCTGCCAATAAATATGGTAAGCTTGTGAGAATGCAGGGAAAATATATTTCGAAGGGAATATATATAGGGTATCTATAAAGGGTATCTATAATATAGATATTCTGGATCAGTCCATGCCAGTCCAGTCTTTGCCAGACCAGTCTTTGCCATATGAAGATAAGGTGTAATATGTAACTATAAATAAAAGCTTCCTCTGTAACTTGTTTCATAGAAAACGTTCTATATAAAACTATGTACCCAGAATGATTGACTGACTGCCTAACTGACTGACTGATTGATAAACAGCACATAGCTCAGACATTACGAGCTGCAAAGCTGAAACTTAACACCAAGACCAGCTGGAATAACAATGGCAACATTAACGGAAAGCCTATTGAAACAGGGTATATATAGATGTTTGTCAGTTGAGCTGTTTATGAACGTGTAGGATCAGACGTCTAATGAAAATCGATCTATTGATCATAGAATGACCCACATACCTGGGATTCTAATGCTGTTTTTTACGACAGCTTTTATTATGTGCTAAGATTGTTAAGTTCAATATAATTGTTCTCTGGCAAATAGCTGCAAAGGCGTCTTTATGACAGACAAACGTCTCTTGATTGCCAACTAACATTTTAGCTACAAAAAAAAAAAGACGCTAACAACTGTTGTAACTTCCAAATGATGGGGTATTTTAGTCGACCAGTTGTTATATGTGTGAAGTATAGAGACAGCTTTAGCTAATTTGATTTAATGTGTTTTTATACCCTGAACCCATTTAAAATGGGTATAAGGGTATATTGTATTTGTGCAAAATCCAAATGTATATAACAGGCAGAAGGAAGCATTTCCGAGCCCATTAAGTATTTATATTCTTGATCAGCATCAATAGCCGAGTCGATCTTGCCATGTCCGTCCGTCCGTCTGTCCGTATGTATGAACGCAAGAATCTCAGAACCTACAAGAGCTAGAAGTCTCTAGTCTAGAAGTCTCAAGTCTGAAATTGTAGATGTAGATGCTCCCAGTTCCCGCGCAGATCGAGTTTCTTTCCGATAATCGATAACTTTCCGTTTCCAAGTAATCGATAAAAATCGATATCGATATCCTGTTTTTTGGGCAATTTTGGTAAATAATAAGAGCTAGAGTCACCAAACTTGACACATAGCTTCTGAAATAGAATATATATATGCATTTGATGTTGGAAGAAGAGGGTTCAGGGTATCCCCTAGTCGGGAGCTCCCGACTAGATCCTCTTACTTGTTTACTTTGTGATTGTAATCTTTTGATTATTGCTATTTAGATAAATCAAACAAAATGAATTAAATAGCGTCTGCAAGTTCTCAGCTTAAGTCATTTGATTTGGGGCAAATGTCATCTAATCCACATATCCAAAATGAAAACTATATAGAATCAGCGTGTGGAACCATTTAATTAATGTACATTCAAGGCAGGCCAAATGCAATCAAAAGTGCTGCAGCTCGGCTGTCAGACACATTAAAATCAGAAGCGTGAAACAATAAAATAATAACTCAAAATTTTCCAGCTAATAAACAAATTTGTTCAAAGCAGCCCAAAACAAAACAAATTGTGGGCGTAATAAAATCTCTTTACTTTATTTATATAGTATTATTATTGTTCTTGGTATTATTGTTGCCGTTGTTGTTGTTGTTGTTGATTTTTGTTTGTAGCGGGAACTGGAAAGGGGAAGGGGAAAGGCAAGAGCAACGCTTGGTTTCACATTTCCCCACGGCGCTTCCGTTTTCAGGGAACAGCCACTGGAGCGATCCAATCTGTGGCACAATGAAGGCCCATTGGCCGGATTGGCCACGTAACGATAACAAATCACATCATTTTAGCAGTAGAGCAGCTCGCGTGACGTAACACGAACTAGCATTACGTAACGTGACGTAACTAACGTGAGAAGTGTGCTTGATGGAAAAACACGAAAAAGATTCCAATAAAGAGAGATAAATGTTGGCATACAAATTTCCTATTTACTTATCGAAAGAACAAAAATATTTACAGGGAATGCTAGTATAACCATAATACCAGATAATACTTGAGTATCCACCAGAGGGGGTTAGATTTATCGCGTACTCCTAGAGTTCCATATTTTGAAAGCCAGAGTCTTCAAGATTCCACAATTGTTAGACTTAGAGATTCGCCTTTAGTAACATTACTTGATAGTCAATGTTCGTGTCATGCTCAAGGACTCACGCGTCCATCTCTAATGCAGAATGACTGCAGCAAATCGCATTTGTCATAGAGCGCAAGAGAGTGCGAGAGGGCTAGGGACCGAGAGAACATTTGATATGCTGTTTGCATTGGAAAATTGGGCTAAATTGCGATTGCCCACAAACAGGTGTAAATTGAGCTGGCAAAGCAGACAGGAAGGCTTTGGGCGTGAGTTTCATCAATAACAACAACAGCATCCAATTACAGCTCGCACAGGTCGCGGATTTATTAACAAGGCCTCGCAAATGCATTTGGCATTTGGCATTGTCTACGTAATTAGGCAACAACGCGTAGGCTGGCCAGCGCATCCGACAGATACAAAACTCATGCAACAGCCGTGCTCGAGTGTTAATTGAAGGGAAAGGTAAAAGGGAAACACTAGCAGCTGCAGCGTGCTGCTGTGCGGGGTCTCAGGTAAAATCTCGCTCTTATCGCCGCATGTTGCATGTTGCATATGTTTAGACGCTGACTTTCTCCCAGAGATAGGGCCACAATAGAAGTGAGCCTAGGTCCGGGCTAAAGGTCACAGCTTAAACGCTGGCGCCAGACAAATTGTTCACTAATTGGTTTATTAAGTTCTCAGCCAAGTAAAAGGGTATAAAGGGTATATCTGGGGTCAGCTCTTAATGGTAGGTGTGACAGGCTGCCATAGAAAACACATGGCCTTGATAAGTTTGTTAAGAGTTTGATATTTTATTTTATTTATTATGCCCTTGAATGTGCATGAAAAGGGTATATTGGTTTTATTTAAATGCATCGGCGACCAGTCTCTATACATAAAACTGTGTGCTATTGTCCTAAATAGGCATAGGTCCAAACATCCCTCCTTGGTTACTAACTCGGTTAAAAGTCAAAACTCTGGCAATATATGCCTAGACATAGGTCGAAATTTCCCAACCCCATAACTCTACCGATTTGCATGAGATTTCGGCCTTTGTTCAATCTCTAAATCAATTATGCCGACTCGATGTCGGGAAGTTTACGAGCTAGATACTTGATACTTTCGCCTAGGTGCAAGTATTATCCGAGCAGATCAAAGTTTGTTTTAAGTTATCGATAACTTGGTCCGTTCGCCTTTAAATCGATTAATGTCGAGATCTCGAACAATAAATGCATCAACAAAGCAATTCAGTTCAACTAAAGTGTTGAATTAAACTTTATTGAATTTAATTACAATTTTACATAAACTGGAAAGTCGTTTTACAATATATTAGCATATAGTACATATGCATATAGCGTTTATATATATATAAATATATATATATTACGTTTCTTTTAATTCACGTTTAATTATCCTTGTATAATTTTAAATTTAGTTATATATGCATAATACACACACATGTATATATATATATATATATAAATATATAGTTCATGTTGAATATTCCATAATAAGGTAGTTAGGTATATATATTAATTAAAAAATGTTATATGTATATATAAATATATATATATATATATATATATATGTGTGTGTGTGTGTGTGTGTGTGTGTGTGTGTGTGTGTGTGACATAAAAGTTGAGTTAACAGTTTCTGCTTCTTGTTAAATTTTCGATAAATTTGCATTTGATTCTACAAAGTCTGGTGCGAAATTCAATACAATTAAGCAACGTAATTTAGCTGGTGTTTTCAATTAAATAGTTTCATAGTTTCTTTTTGTTGTTTTTTTGTTTTTTTTTGTTTTTATCTTCATCTTAGAACTGGGACTTTTAGTAGTTACAACACGTTTTCATAGCACTTTGAAAGTTCTTAGGACATAGTCTAACTATAAAACTGGGGAAGTTCTCCAATTAATTCAACAGATATGTGAATAGCAATTTGTTTAAGCTAGAATAAATTGCAAGTATAAAATTGATTGAATATCAACAATTGGTGTTGTGTGTGTTTAGTTTAGAGTTAAGAGTTTATAGTCATGCATATATCATAAAACAGTGTTGGAAAATGTGTGTGGATACTAGGAAACTAGAATTAGGGCATTAATATGACTATAATATATCTCATTAAAGTTTTAGTTCGAATATATATATATTTAGCATATACTTACAAACATTTCTATGTATTTTACGATAGTTTATAGTATTTTTTTTTTGTTTTTCTATTTTTGTTTATAATTAAAATTAAATTGTTTATTAGATTTTAGTTTTAGTGCCAATTGGCTTAAGGTACTTTAAGTTTTTCTTTGCCTTGTGGCGCTTTTTCTGGTTTTCATTTTAACTAGAGCTTTTAAACACACTTAGGTATTGCTGACTAGTTAGCCCCGCCCACTTGTTGTGTGCTTGCCAAAGACTGTATAGTGTAGAGTGTGTGTGTGTGTGTGTGTAGTAGTAGTATTAATAGCTTTAAGTATATATATTTATATATATGTGCAAATATTGCACATGCATTTACATAACCACGACATAACATGTAACAAAGGAGCTTTACAAAGCTTTATTTCTTCTTTTACGTTTAGCTCTAAAATTGATTGCAATTCTTTATAAGTCATTAAGTAGAGAAAATCCTTTTAGTCTTCAATTCAGATTAGTTTTTCGTTTAAGTACATAAGTAGTTCAGTTATATATATATATTGTATTCAAAGAAATGCAATTGAAGAGTTAAGAGTAGGTGTGCAAATAAATTGTTGACATCTAGTTAAATAGTTAGTTAACAATTTATAATCGATCTAAAATTGGCTTCTCCGGTTGAGCCCTCAACAAACTGCGCCTAGGGATTGTTCAAAATTGATACGAGCAACGCCGGGAAATATCTTCTAGTTTAGTATATAGATTAACTCACAGCCCAAATGCAATGAGTTACTTTGCACTTGCCCAACGCTAGCAAGAAATTTAGTGTGTGTTGTGGGTGTGTGTAGGTGTGTGTGTGTCTCAATTCTTATGTATAATGACAAGATTTATTCAAATTTTCTACGTCTGAGGCGTGCTGGAGAGGTATGTCTATATAAATTGTATGTACTTGTATGCGAAGGATTCGTATTTGAACAAAGTATCTTTCTCAGAAACGTATCTATATACAATTTCTATGCCAGTTGCAGTTCATCGTATTGTATAACTATATATAGTATATATATATATATATATATAGTTTATTTGTTTTATGAAAGCTAACAATGTGGACGGACAAAAATAATTTACAAAAATTCTTGTATTGTTACATTTAGTTTGAAAATCGAAAGTTTTCGTTTTCGTTTAGCTGTCGCCTAATCTTAACTATTACATTTTTCATTTATATATTTTGTTGTTGGGGGCCGTTTGAAAGGTTGAACATTAGTTAAATATATCGATTTATCGATTGTTATTAATTTCACTTCTTTAGTTTTGCATGCATATTGTTTTATTTGATTGCTAGTAGACTACAAAGTCACACAAAGTTCCACACTTGACTTTAAGTACATGCGTTAAACAAGTTAGCATCGAGTTCTTAGTACTTGCTTATAGAGCATACGTAAGGTTGGAAAATTATCAAGGAAAACAAAGGAAAAAGATCAACTAGCAATGTTTTCAACATGATATTTTGTTTTCGCAGCTGCTGGCTAGCTCTTCGATTTTAGAAATCAACAACAACATTGGACTTTTGAGCTGAGCTTTAAAGTAAAAGCACAGTTAATATAATACTATATAGCTATCTATATTAAAATCGAAAATTAATGCTTTAGATTTTACACGCTGTTTTAGAAACAAGCTTAGTACGCAGAGTTGAATTCAAAATACAATAAAATAGACTAGTTTTAAAGTTTTCAATTAGAACTAATTATAAGTATATATATACAAATGTATCTACTATTATATAGGATATATTTATGTTTATATAGGTTTAGATTTAAGTATTTATCTTAGACTTAATTTTCTTTGCTACACTTGGAGTTAAAAAGTTTTCGAAGGCTTCGTTAATAAGTTCTTTTGAGTTGACAAATGGAAAAGTAGAGCTCTCTCTTGTGAAGAATTTTCTTTATATATATGTATGTGTACATATAAAATCCTAAAACTAACATATGCTACGTTTACAAAGTTTCAAAATTAATCGTTTAGTACAATTTTATTTATATATATATATTATTATTATATATATATATATATATATATATATATATTAAAGTACCGTACATGTATTAAAATTCGTTATGCAAATGAATAAAAGTGCAGATCTTGCTACTACAATTTATATAGATATAGATATATCATAAAAAGTAAGAAACGAAAGTTCCACTACAAGAGGTGCTGCGTGTCTTAATAAACAATTATGAAAGTAGAAAGTTTCACTCAGTTGTTAAAGCTATTAATAAATTCTTATTGAACATTGTTTTATATATCGCTTATCGCTCGCTTCTCTCTTCCAAGCTTAAAATTCACTCAGTTGCAAGCTGCGCTCATTGATTGGGTTGCATGTGCTGCACATTGTTGCTGTGCAGGAATAGAAAATATATATTAATTAACTTGAAAATATAAAGGCAGATATATCTGAGACTCACCTATTTTCACTATGGCATACTGACATTTCCTGCTGCCCTTGATACTGCAAGTTTTGAAGGTATTCCGCCCTGCGTTGGTGCACCAGCTTCTCTTTTTCGGCTCGCTCTCTCTGTAGTCTATATCGGTAGGGTGGCACAGAGATTAGTATTTGATTTAAGATAGGTTTTTACTTAAACTATAAACTAAAACTAAAATAAAATTGGCTAGCAGGAGAATGTAAGTGAAAGAAGAGTAATCGATAGTTTTATCAATTAAAATTGTTTCCCTTTCAATATTCGATCGATTATATTTCAAATTAATAAGTTAAAGCAATCGATTTTTGGCCACAATCGGTCGATCGGGTTTTTCTATATATATTTTATCGATTGCCTGAAGTGAACTTTTTGCTACCCTTCCATTGTAATCTTACCAAAGTCGTCAAGTTGCCATCCCAAATGCTAGCGTGCAAAATTTGTGTACAATTTTTAGATCTCAACATGACTTGGAACTATTCAAACTTAAGACAATAACCAAATATTGGGTTCTAATGCTTACTTGATGCGTGATTGTCTCATGAACTGTTGTATTTTTCTGGCAGCCTGGTTTTGTGTAGACTGGGAATAAGTACGTCTGGTTGTTGAGCGAGAGAAAGGAAGATTAATATATCTATCCAAAATAATAGTTTATGTCCGGTCACACTCACTTCAATGGACCCGACGGACTCGTCTCCTTGGGCGTGCTGGGCTGTGAGCCGAGCTCGTGCTGCTGTTGCTGATCCTGCTTGTAGTGATCATAGAAGCTGGACAGGCATTGCGAGTTGCTGCTCACGCTGCCATGTTCGCTGCCCGTGCCGCCCAGCTGCGACTTCTTGAAGCGCTTGTTCCGCCGATACGAGCGATACCCGTGCTGAATGACCAGCGCCGCGTTGGTCATCTGCCTGTAGTAGGCGTATTGCTTATAGCGACGATAATAGTTCTGTATAACGATGGCGGCCGTGCGCTCCTTGTTCTGCTCCTCCAGCTTCTGACGGCCCTTGTACGACCGATATGCCTTCTGTATGCACTTGGCTGCCTCGTACAGCTCCCGCTGTTCGGTGTCCGTCAGCGTTAGTTTGGAGAAGTCAGCCTCGAACGGATACTGGGATATGCTCGAGGCGTGCAGGAACTCGGTCAGCTGTTTGGTAGAAGGCGGCGGACTCGGTGAGCTGACCGAGGGATCGGTGCCCAGTATGGAGTAGCTGGCCGGCGATTGCAATGGCCCCGAACTGGCCGGACTCAGGCTGGAGCAGGGCGTGCTCACGTCGTGATAGCGATAGCTGTGATCCTGAAAATCGAAACTGAAGTCGCTGTCGAAATGCGTGTTGGGCAGCGAGTCGAGCAGCGGATCCATGAAGCTATCTGTTAGCGCCGAGGACTCCGAGGTGAGCGGCTCCGTCAGCGGACTGCCCAGCACCATCATCTCATCCGCCTCGTTCTGGCAAGGGAACCAACAAATATTATCAGCCGAAATATCTCAATTATTAATAAGATAACTCACCTTAATGCGCTCCGGCATGGCGGCGATAATGTGTTCCGCCAGCGTCAGAACCTTTGCATCCGAATCCCCTGAAAGTAGGCCACGCAAAATGAAATGAGCTAACCTAGGGATTTGGCCAACAAAGCATTACAGATCAAAGAACGAGTCTACAGTATATGCTGCTCTGTGTTTTAGTAGTTGTTTAATATACATCGACAAGCACTTCGGTTATGTGTTGCGAGGGCAGCTCCAAAAGTTATCAAAGTGCGGCTAAGCCAATTAATAAACCAATAAATATCTGGACCGAGCGACCCCATAAAGCATATATATTCCCGATCAATATCAGCAGCTGAGACTATACTGCTATGACCCTCTGTTTCTTTGCAAACTAGTCCATCGTTTTTGAAGCTGTCTTCATTAAATTTTGGCTAGCTCCGTTTATCTGTTATAGGCAGGTAACATATTGGATCGTACCGCTAGGAATGGGAATTAGGAATGGGAATAGAATAGGAATGATAGATTGAAAATTAAGATCTTATTTTCAAGGTATCCTAACTAAAACTTGGCAATTACTAGCTCTACAAGTGTGCTCCACACACATAAGGAAAATCTAATCGGATTACTTTATCATATAGATCTATAGGTGGTATGGCAAACTTTTTAGTTTATCAAGAATCCAGCAACTACAAGCGTCACTCTTCTCCTAGAAGATATACAAAGTCTTATCAGATCAGTCTATTCTTTTATATGGTTTCTCTTCGGATTATCTGTCGGAGAGAGAATTTCAGGAAATTTACGTCTACAAAGCTATATAATCTCTCGATTTTTTTCTCCTTATATTTATTTGCATTTATTTTTTTTTGAGCATTTCGTAAATTCTTCAAACTGCCCTCGTTTATGTGTTTGTGTATATGTGTATGTTAGTTTTGAGTGCCCACACACACACACTTGAATACTTATTTACAGAATGAGTACATTTTGAATATATTTACAGTTCTTTGTTTTTGTGGTTAGGCTGCGTGTGTGTATATATATATGTGTGTGTGTGTGTGTGCGTGTGTGTTAATGTTAGTGTATACATCGATATTAACGCACATTTAAGGTTAGTTCTAATCACACAAATACATATGCTGAACGTTTAATACGAGTACAATATATAGATACACATATATGCATGTATGTAAGTATGTATGTTTGCGGGCATGTGGCACTCATAAACGCATTCATATGAATACGAATACACTCATATGCATATTCATGGCATCAGCAATTTACATCAATAGAAACGAACGTTTAGATATATTAATTTAGATATTCCGGCCACGCGAAGGTGTGTGTGTATGTGTGTGTGTGTGTGTATATGCAACAACAACAATTAGCAACAGCAATCAACAACAACATTGAGAGACAGACAGCAAGAAAGAGAGAGAGAGAGAGAGAGAGAGAGAGATAGAGAGCGAGCGAGCGAGCGAGCGAACTATACACAAAATGCACATTAGATTTGATGGTCGCCCCCGCCCCGCAACAACCCGTTACGTTACGATACGTTACGATATTACGTGATTACGTTAAGTGGTTAGCATAGTTTTTGTATAATCTAGTTTTGAATAGGGTGTTCTTTTAGCGGTCTCACTGACCTACGACAGCATCGTTGAGCCCATTGTTTAGGGTTGTGTCGGTCACGCTCGTCGAATTCTCATCGCAATCGATGCTTTTCTCGTTAATGGGGCTCGACTCGCCCGTGGATACCTCGCCTGGTGTTTAGAATTTAGCGAGAGTTTCGTTTTTAAGCATATATATATATATATAGTATAGTCGCACACAGTAAAATTGACTAATTGACATAGATTAGCTCATGGCCAACACTTACACAGCGCGAAATCCATTTTACGCAGCGGCGACAACAAACCGGAGCAATTGTTGCCGCTCAGCGAGTCCAGCGGCGAGTCCACGCCCAGCGCATAGTTATCGTGCGGCTCAAAGTTTCTAAAAATAAACAAAATTGAAGATGAAAATTTAGAGTATAGTTAGAAAAACTCACCCATGCAGCCTGGCGAGCGGCTTGCCGGGTTTGCTGCGCATGTCCATGTTGATGCCGCTGTCAATGGAAGATCGCTTCGAGTAGCGACTGCTGTTATTTGGCGGACTTTGATTGCTGTGAATTAATGGGAATTAAGCACTAAGCTGCATTCCAAATTCAAATTAAAAACCGGCTAATACACTAACCTGTGCAGCGCAACGGGTCGCAGGAATACGCCATCGTGTCGGCGCTGTAGTTCGAGCTCGTAGACGCTATAGCTGGACTCCTCCGTGGTTGCCTCGACGGCCAGATTCATGGAGAGATTGGCCAGACCGCCGCGCAGCTGCGGCTTGCGACAGCGCTCCTTCTCCAGACGGCATATCTGCTGTATCAGCTGCTTGTGCCCCTTGAGGCTGGCCAGATCGAGTGGCGTGTGGTGCGCCTGCGTCTTAATCTTCAGGGCATTGTGATTCCATTTGTAGAGCAGCAGTGTGCACTCTAAATGGCCACGGACACAGGCCCAGGCCAGGGGCGTAAAGCCATGCACATCCTGGCTGAGCGCATCCAGCTCCGTCTCCAATATGATATGTGGATTCTCGGCGCGCCAGTTGAGCATGGCGCCCACCAGCTTGGCGTAGCCCAAGGCGGCGGCCAGATGCAACAGAGTCATGCCGCGCAGACCCACGCTCCAATTGGCCGAGGTGCTGGGCGCGCTCCAGGCGTGCTTCGTCAGCCGGTGGCAATAGAGCACCAGCTTCTCCTCGAAGTTGGGCTCCAGAAAGAGAGAGGTCTGATCGATCTGCAGGGAGGGAGGCGGGGAGAGATATGAGATATCATCTTATGGGAGAAGATGTCCCTCGGCTTACCGTTAGCTCGTTCTCCAGCTTGAGCTGCAGCTTCTCGTCGATGGTGGAAAGGCGATTCAGGAGCGTGAACTTGTACAGGCAGTCGTTGGAGCTGCTCGCATCGAAAGGCGCATCCGCGAGCAGCGATAGCTTGTACTCGAACATGGCCGCATTGGAGACCAAATAACCGCCGCAGGCCACCTGCAGGGTGACCAGACCCGCCTCGTGGGCGGGGCAATAGCAGCGGAGGACGCCCTCCTGCACCAGAACCGTGGGCACGGGCTGTGCATCGAACAGTACCGTATAACAGCCGCCGTCGCTCGTCCAGGGTCCGGCGACGAGCACCTTGACCCCGCCCTCCGTGTACGACCATTCCGGACTGAAGTCGCAAATGTTAAGCAGCTTGCGTTGCGTCGCCTGCGTGGGCGTGGCAATGCCCGGATACGAGCTGACGCCGCCAGCCTGGCTATGCACCTGCTCGAGCGCCGTGTTGTTCAGCGCCTGCTTGTCATCCAAATCCAGTTCGGGGAACTCCACCAGCATATCGAAAGCATCCAAATGGGCGAACACATCCGCCGTATCCTCATCCTCGCGTGAGCTGTGCGCCTCCTGTTGTTGTTGCTGCTGCGTTTCATGATTGTTGCTGTTGCTAGTGCTGCCACCAGCTGTTGATGCTGTTGCTGTTGCTGTTGCCGTCGCATTGTTGCTGTTGCTGCTGTAGGGCATATTGGCGATGAGTGTGCGCTGTATGTCCTCGTGCGACAGATCCAGCGTCTCATTGAAGAAGCTCATCGACTCCGCCTGCTGCGGCTCATCCTCGTTGCTGTGGCTGCTGCTGCGGCTGCGACTGTTGCTGCTGTTGTTATTGTGATTGTTGTTGTTGTTGTTGTTATTATTTGGATTGCTGCTTTCGTCGCTGGCGCTAATTTGGCTGCTGTTGTCACTGGAAGCACTGTAATTGGCACAACCGTTGAGTATGTGGGCATCCGTGGCCTGATTGTTGCTGCTGTAGTTGTTGTTGCCGCCCTGCTGCTGCTGTTGCTGCCCGCTGCTGCTGCCCAACTCCAGCTGTCATTTAAATTTAATCAACATAAATAGCATAAATGCAGTTGATTTGCGGTCTAAGCCCCCAAACCCCAAAACTTACCTCAGCGTGCGCATTGGCGCTCATTAAATTATCACAAGTTGCTGCTGCTGCTGCTGTTTTTGGTGTTGTTGTTGCTGTTGTCGTTGTAATTTGTTGCTGCTGATTGCCATCGATAATCGACTGTAAGGAACTGGAGCTGGACGTGGAAGGAGTGTTGCCAGCGGAAGACGTTGCTGTGAGCTGATTGCTGCTGCCGCTGCTCTGATGCTCAGGTGACATGCACATGGCCTCAACTGGGGGTTGGCTGCTGTTGCTGCCGTTGCTGTTGCTGCTGTTGGGGGTGGCTGTCTGTTGCAATTTATAATAATGTTGCTGCTGCTGCTGCTGCTGTGTGTTGCTGGCAGCAGTCGCTTGCTGCTGCTGATTGTATGTAAAATTATTGCTGTTGTTGTTCACATTTAATTCGTTGTTTGTGTGAGCTGCTGCTGTTGTTGTTGCTGCTGCTGCTGTTAATTGCTTATTGCTGCTGTTATTTGTGTTGTGGCTGATTTTGTTGCTATTTGCGGTCAACTGCTGCTGCTGCTGCTGACTTTGGTTTTCAATTAGTTCCGTATCCATGACATTTGAGGCAGCGACTGTTGCTGCTGCTGTGGCTGCCTCTCTTGTTGTTGCCGTAATTGTTGTATTGGCAATTTGCAGGCGATGATTTAAATGTGCTGAGCTATTGTTGCTGCTGCTGTTGTTGCTGTTGTTATTGTGTTGATTATGACTCTGGTTGCCCTGATTGTGACTGGCCACAAAGCGCTGCAAGTTCAAGTGTTGTTGCTGTTGTTGATATTGTTGTTGTTGTTGCTGCTGCTGCTGCTGTTGTTGCTGTTGTTGCTGTTGCTGCTGCTGTTGCTGCTGTTGCTGCTGCTGCTGCTGCTGTATTAACAGATTGCTTCTTGTGGCCAGCATCTGATTGGCAGCACGATATTGCTGCTGATAGCTTGCCTCACTGTGATTGGCCTGTTGCTGCTGTTGTTGCTGGGGAATGATTTGAAACTTGATCGCCGACTCCTGCGGCAACTGCTGCGTCGCATTGTGATACTGCGCGTGCGGATTGTCCAAGTGCAGCGTCGCCTCACGCTGCCTATGCCGCTCCGACCAGCGTGAATATAGCTGCAAATAGATGCGTTAATTCGCCGACCTCTTCCTCCTGCTCCCATCTCCTATCTCCTCTCACCTTGCTGGCCACCACGACATTGGGCGTGCCATTGGCTGTGCTGTAGGCATCATTTGGCCGCTTCTCCGACACGGATTTCAGTATGCCGCCCGTGCGTCGCATAACGGGATGCGTGCAGGTCTTCCCATCCGCACAGGCAGCATCGCCGCAGCCGCAGTCGAGCTGCTTGACGAGCGCTGCCTGCCGCGAGAGACGCTGCTTCTCCATCAGCTGGCACACAATTGACTCCACTGTCTCGGCCGTCTGTGGGAGCAATCAGCATATGAGTAACTGTTATAACTGTTATACTACTTAGCTAGCTAGTGTAAGTGTTATATTAGAAACTTCTGTTATAACTATTCCATTGCTATCTGGCTTACTATCTAACTTCTATTGTCGACAAACTGTTATACTGGAAAGCAATTTACATATGAGTAAATTATTTAGATGGTATACTAGCTATTATGGTAACTGTTATATTAGAAACTTCCCAGTGTATTTCTTCTTTACAAATTATATTGCGAAGAAGTCGACATCTGAGAAGCTGTCTTATCTGTTATACTCACTGACTAGCTGTGTGTTTACTGTTATATTAGGTTTTATTTTAAATGTTATATGAAGTGGTATACTAGCTATAACTTTCCAGTAATTGTGGTACTTCAGTCTGTATTAGCTGTTATTATAAATGTTCTCTTGAATGTTATACTAGCTCTCATACCCACTGTTATACGTTTACTGTTTTACTAACTGTTATATATATAGCTGCTTGTATTCTCACCGCTTTGAGAGGTGTTGTAACAATTTTCATACAAACTGTTATACTCACCGATATTTCTATATCATTGCCCGAATCAGAGTCCTCATCCGAATTAACTGTGGACACTGCGTACAATGGATGTGCTTTTATAAAGGCAATAACTACTACCAAGTGTTATACTCACGCATAGGCTTCAGCTGGCTAACCAGCTCCTCCTTGGTCCACTCCTTCTTGTCGCCCCAGAGCGTGATGCTCGGCGCTATGACGGCCATTTTATTATCATCCGGATAGGGTACATTCAGATAATGCACCAAAACAATGTCCGGATTCTGTTTGTGGTTAGAGCAATAGAACAAGTCTGTCAAAAAAATACACCCCCACCTCCCCCATCCCGCCTGAGGCACCTACCTGCAATAGCCAGTAACATCTGCGATGAAATGTGGGCAATATGGCCGAGTGTACATAACAACCATAGATGCACTGTGGAGCAAGTGGGAAATCAGTTTAGCAAAGAAAACAAAAACAAGGGCATAAAAAATGTTAATATATATGGGAATATATAGCTAAAGATATAGATGTATAGCTCTGGCAGCTACACGCAGCGAATTGATTTAATTGGAAGACATAAAAAAGACGCAGCTCAAATTAAATTACCAAACGCCCACGCTAGGGGGCGCCAGCTAAGAAGTCGGGGAGGTCAAAAAAAACAAGGCAAGTGCCAAAAATCAAACCCTTTGTGACTTACACAAGACCATCTTCCACTTTGGCTGCTGCTTCTTCTTATTTTAGTACACTTTCTTTTCTTGTTTTTTTTTTTTGCTGCGCATTTCTTTTGCTGTTGGCGCTGATAAATTTGTTGGCCGCCGTCTTTGGGCGATATGCCGCTGACTGCTCTTTTTTTTTTTTTTGTTCCTACCAACATTGAAGTGTTCAGCGTTTATAAATATTAGTTATCGTGTAAGGAGAGAGACAAACAGACAGACTGACAGACAGACAGACGGACGGACGGACGGACAGGAAAACCCCTGCTGTGTGTTTGCCAAGTGCATAAATCTCGCGGCAGCTACTTGTCTTTTGCTCGTAAAAGAAACGCAAACTGCAAGCGGTATTAAAATAAAAATTAAAACAAAAAAAAAAACATAAGGGAAAAGAAAAGAATTTTTGGCGTGAAATTGCCAACTGTTTTTCTATATACATACGCCCAGGAATATGAAGGGCTGAGCGGCATTTACACACACTTCAGTCAGACATTATAAATACGCTTAACCCTAGGCGAAGCTTATTTCATTAGCACACAAACAAACGCCCAGTACAAGAAACAGCAACAGAAGAAAAAAAAATAAGGAAAAATGGAAACGTATTTCCGGCGGAAAATCATAACTCACAAGAGAAAAAAAAAAAAAACTGTGTTCTTAGCAACCCCCAACAAAATGCAGTTAAAGTTAAGCTTCGACTTCCGTGTATTTGTTTTTATCTCCTGCTTTCAACTGGCCTCTTAAATTAGCCGCCTGCTGGACAACAAGCCAGCTAGTTGTAAGCGCCGCCTAATTGACTAATTGCCCAGCGGGCGTCAATGGAAAATTTCAACAAATTTCGACTTGGAAAAACTCTTATCGTTATCCGCCAAGCAATTCAACTAGACTAGCTAGCTAAGCCTTATGTGGAGTTACCATTAGGTTATGATTTGACCTGTATTGGAAAAGCTCTAATTCAAATCCTCTAAGTAATACAAACTAGATCATAAGCTAACATACCTTAGCCGGAACCCAACCAATTTTTATAGGGAACAACTTTTTGCTTATGGTTTGACCTTTATTGGAAAAACTTCCAATGAAATTGTCCAACTTATCCCACACACCAACTTATCCATAACATAACTTGATCAAAATCACAACAAATTTATTATGAGAAATAACTTCTAGATTATGATTTTATCTCTATTGAAAAGACTTCCATCGAAATCCTCTAAGTACTTAAACTTCAAGAATGTGAGGCTTTATACTAACATATCTTAATCAAAGCATATCTGATTTTTTATAAGGAATAACTTTTTGCTTTTAGTTTGCCCTCGCTTCTTTAATTCTTTACCTTAAAATTGGTACCCAATTCTCCAAGTACCATAACTTGGACAAAGCTGAAATGATTTCCATATGGAATACCCTTTTGCTCATGATTTGATTTATAATTAAGTTCCTTATTTATGTTATAACTTCTTGCTTAAAATTCCTCCACATATGATTTAATGTTTTGAAGCTCACCTCAGTGCCTTGTACTTTAAGTTTCATGTGATCCTCGCGGGTCGTTTTGCCATCCTTGCGCTTCTTCCAGCAGTAGCCGTCGCGTCTGTAGCGCACCTTCTTGCGCGAGTAGAGCAGCAGGGAGCCGCTCTTCGGTCTGCGGTTGAATCAGAAGAGGCAGAGGAAGAGGTTGGGAAGAAGAGGGAATAGGGGGGAGTGGCCGTGGTTTATGGAAGATTTGTGTTTATTGCGTTCTATGTAAATGTGGGCCACAATGTGCTGGCCCAGACAGTGCAAGTGACTCACCTTGTTTTGACTTCTTTTGATTGCCATTCGCTATGCTTATCAAAGCTGATAAGAATCGCTGCGATTTCCTGAAAGAATGTTAGAAGAAAAACGACCAAATATTTGTTAACAAACAATTAAATAGATGTGTGGCTAAATACGATTAGAAATACGCTCACAATTTGTGAGGCAGCTACGTGACGTCGAACTAACATGTGGAAAGGTCGCCGGTTCAAAGCCCGAAAAAAAAACTCATTTTCGAATATAATAATCACTCAAATTGCAAAAAACAACAGTTTATCTTCTAATAGATAAGCTGGTAGAGTATTCAAGCTTCGGCATGCTATAAGCACAATTATTTATGTTCTTCTTAACTGTTTAATCTGTGAGCGTCCTTCAGTTCGCCTAATCAGCAAGTCACGTGTGTTTACCAATTTTAAAGCACAACAACAACAACAACAACTGCTGGGCAAATGAATGTTAACCAAGTTAAGTGAACGTGCTAACAATTTCCGAGTTGCTGGAAATTTTTGCTGGCCAAGGCACTCGCGGCATTTCCTGCACGAGGTCCGGCAAAAGTTTCTGTTGCTTTTGTTGTTTGTTTTTTTTTTTTGCTGCGCATAAAACAAAGGAAAACATTTTAGAAATTTCATTTGACCGCACAGCAGCAGCAGCAACAGCGACGGCAGGAAGCAGGATGCCCCAAAGTGTGACCACAATTTACAGGTGTCGCCGGTTGACACCTGGCCGCCATGGGGAGAGTGAGTGTGCGAGTGTGTGAGTGTGCGAGTGTGTGTGCATACTTGAAATGCGTGCACTTGATAAGCTGTCGGTGGAATATGAGTGGAAAGTGAGAGAGAGAAAGAGAAAGGGAGAGATCTATGAACTATGAACAAGAAAGAAGATATGGGGAGAGAGAGCGTGAGGAAGCAAGCATGTGCTGCTTCTCTGAGTACAGTAAAACATTCAAATACACATCACACACAAACACACACACATGCATAGAAAAGAAAGACAGCTGAATCGAAGGGTTGTTGGCAGCGCGGTGGCAACTCTGCTGGATTGCCCATTTGGCATTTCATAGCATGTTTTGCCGATAAAGTTATCAATTTGTTTTGCCAGCCTTGACGTTGCATGAATAATATAAAGTGGCCACACGAATACACTCACACGCACTCAAGGAGCACTCACATTCATTCTCATTCAAAAACCCAAGAACCATTCATCTGTGCCGTCAACAACTGGCAAAGCAGCTCGCGCGCGCACAGCTGGCGACGTCCACAGTCCGCAGTCCTCGTAGTCCTCATGGTCCTCATAGTCCTCATAGTCCTCATTGACGATGTGCAGCAACAATTTCATATGTCAGAAATCGCAGCATTTGCGAGTGTCATAAAAATTGTATGCACACACTGAAGCAGCAGCTACACTGCGCGAAAAAAACGATACAACAAGAGCATTGAGAGTTCTCCAAGGACCGAAGTCCTTAGGCTGAGAGCACCTTATTCCATATAACCCTGAGCACATTCCAGATCTTATTTAAAGTATTTTGTGCATAATTTAAGTCTTTTTTGACATTTTGCAGCAGCTTTCTTTATTTAAGCACATTGAATCACGAAATGGCCTTGAAATTATATATTGTCAGCCAGTTTTTCTCCCAGTGTAGAGTCCGCTAGAATTGGGAGCTGCTGGTTGTGAGGAGCTGGAAATCACAGGCGCGTGTTTGTCAAGTGGCAAACGTTTGCATTTTGGCCCAAATTGCCTTTGACTTTGGTTGGCATTGGCTTGGCTTGGCTTTGCCTTTGGCTTTTGCTTATTTATGCATGCCCCAAGCTGGTCTCTGGCCGCTTGCCGCTTGCCACATTCAACTCTTTTTGCTCTTTTGCTCCGCTTTTTTATGATGAATTCTAGGCACATACGTAGTTCGAGTAGCTGCGCGAATGGCGCATTAAAAATTTATGCGCACCTCAGCGCATTTGCTACGAAACACACAACACAACCCCCCCTTCACGGCCACGCCCACCCACTTTTGAGTTATGCGTGCGGCACTTGCAACACACACAAACACACACACACACACACGAAACAATTAGAGTGCGACATACAACAAAAACACGATGTTTACAGCTTTTTATTGGCCGAAGCCAAAGCAACGGCTGTGTCTCATTATCAATTTAAGTTTTTTGATTTTCAAGCTGCAACAGCGTTCTTAGCCACACTGCGGGGGCTTGAGAGTAGGAGAGGGGAGACGGTATACTATATGGCTAGGACTTGCTGCTTGTATTATTTACGCCAGCTGCTTTATGCCCCTGCTTATTTTTTTTTGGAGAAGGCCCAGTCTCGGCCAAATTAAAACTGTGTGGTTAAAAAGCCAAAAAGCCAAGCGGCCATTTAACGGTCAGACCCACAGCTGACCCTGGCCACACCCCCTCTCACACACACACACTCTTCACCCCGTCCCGTGTAACTGTCGTCCTGTAAGCAGACTAAAATAAGCGTGCGTAATTTTATTTATGCCCCGTACACGGTTACATTTTGTAATTTTTGCATGCTGATGCAGTACGTGGACAGGGGAGGAGGGGAGGTTGGAGGAGGCTTGCCATGAGTGCGGCAGCCATTGACCGTAGCCCCTCCCAGTGCCCGTACCCCTCACTCGTTCTACTTGCGAAACTTTATATTAATAAACTGTGGCACGGGCTGCTTTATACTCTGATTATGCTCGAGCAGATAAAATGTGCCTGCGAGTACTTTTTAATGAGAGATGGAGATATGCCACTTAAATACCCTGGAAATGCCACTTAAATACCCATAAATCGTACAGTTTCAGATATATTTTCAATCTAGCTTCCATTAGACGTCTAAATACATGAGACTAAAGAGTATTTTCCAGCCTTAATTGGACTAAGTTTATTGCCTCACATATCAGATATTACTTCCAGATATTTCTGATATATATACCTTTCACTCACCCAGATTTGAAAATGAATTTGAAGCGAAGCGGATAACGAAATAGTTTCACATAAGCTCTCTTCCACCATTTTTCCACACTTACGGATGAAATACATATAAATTGTTCGACTCAAGCTTTCTTCCACCAATTTTCCACGCTTACAGGTGAAATACATATAAATCGCCTTCTCGCTTCTAAGCTTAAGTCTATTTGTTCTCAATTCTTGTTTTGTTAGTGCATTAAAGCGAACGTTTATCCTTCTGTTCATTTTACGGCCCGTTGTTTTGGCTGCTTTTTAATTTAGTCAGCTTGTCGCGCGAGTGTGTAAAATGTCGCTTACTGAATGCAAGCCCCTACCTCTGCCCAGACACCCTGCTCCCCCCCACCCTCCTTCTACTGCCACACGGCGGCTGTTGCAAAAACTTTACAACTGTCCAAATGAATATTTGCGGTTGCGTTTAATTCACAAGTAAAACAGTCTCTCTGGTTTTTTAAGCGCAAAAGTTTTATTGTAAACACAAAGCCGAACTTTGGCGCGTACGTGCGCCGTCCAGCATGTGCTTTAAACTCGCCACGAGTCCTGCGCGTCCTGCGCGGACAACAACAATTTGTATTTGTATTATAGTTTTGTGTCGCATAAAAAAAGAAGAAGTTGCCAAGTCGCGACCATTCCTAATAAACGAGGCAGCTGTCCAAAGTCGGCATCTTATTAATACGCAAAAAAAAGAAGAAGAAGAAGAGTACTGTAGGAAGCGAGTCCTTGGGCGCTGTCAAAGTGTCCTGGCCCGTGGACTGGCAGGCTCATCCGCCTGTCAAGTGCGCCCACCTTTCGGAAATCAAACGCTGTCGCTAAGCTTTGAGCCCCCTTTTTTTTCTAGCTTTCAGTTTCGACATTTTTATGTGCAATCAAATGCAAATCGAGACACAAACAAAGCACTATATGGCTATATCTTCTATATACATATATATATGTATATCTAGCTATATATAGATGTGTGTGTGTGTGTGTATGTTAAACTGACCTCATTTGTATTCCAACGATGTCGCTGCGATGGGAAACTGTCGGCTCTTGGCAGGCTCTCCAAATTGTCGGGCAGTTTGATAGGTTCGCCATCTGGAAAAACGAACGAATGCGAATCAGTTAAAAACGTTTCAAATGCAATGAAAGTGTAAGTACGAACGAATTGTGCAAACAGTTCACAATCCTGTTGCATAATGTAATGTGAATTGTTACAAAAAAAATATATCTCTAAAAAGCAGAAACAACCCGCGCGCGCCCCGCCGGACTCTGGCCAACAGGTGCGGCTAAATGCGACAAAAATGTAAATCGAGATGATTTATAGAATTTAAATGTCAACTTAATAACGTTTCACGACTTGGACGAAACGCAGACGAGGGCAAGAACGGGGACGGGAACGGGGACACGGAGAGAGAAGAGAAGGACGAGGAGAACTCTTCGCAATCATTTATCACAAGGACAACTTTTGGCATATGTCTTCTTCTTCTGCTGCTGCTGATTTCGCACCGAAAAATGCATTTCTGACCAAATGCGTGTGGCAAAGCCCCCCCTCACCTACCCTCGCCCCCTTTCTCCGCTCTAAACTTTGCTAGTCATTGAATAATTACGCGTACTTAATGACGCTTGCAACTTGAACGACAAAACCGAATCGAACTTTGCCTCCACTTGCTGCTTTTGGCTTATTAAAATGCCACGCAACTGTAATAATAACAAGTCAATAGGCTTGAAGTTGCGGCTGCCCAACTTACAGATACCCTGTAAACATGAAATGCTCTCTGTGGTCATAGTCATGCGACATTTGACACTTTCATGGAAACTTGGCCTGAATCGAACTTCACTCTGTCAGCTCTCCTCTCACTTCTCCAGCAGCTGAATCTACCCATCTGCTGCACACATACAGGGTATATCAATAACATCAACAACAGCTTTTGTTGTGCTCTTACAAATGGGCTATTCGCAATAAACTAGCGACCAAACTGTAATTTAGCAAAAATGTGTAATAAAGCGTCGCGCACTCGAAGAACTAAACGAATATATCAAAAGCCGATATATATATATATATATATGACTATATATATATATATGTGTGTGTATACATATAAATTTGTTACGTATAGAATGCACTCTCAAGGGTCATAAAAAAGGAAAGAAAAGTATCGTAGAATTTATATAAAGTGCTCAACGTTTGCCCAAAGCCGCGCAAGCGAAAAGTGTTGCCAAATTGCAAATGGCACAGAATGGGGCGGGATCAAATGGAAGGGGCTGGAGGGGGAACAGAGACAGTGCGTGGGGCCTGCGTCTGCCTCTGGCTCCGCCTCATGATGATGTAGTTCAGCCCCCCACCTCCCTCCTGCCCGCCCCTGGCAAATGTGTTGTCAATGTAGTCGTCCTAGACGTAGTTCCAAGTTGTTGTCGTTCGCGTTGTTTATGGCCTTTTTATATGCCGCACGTTGGCAGCAGCCACACAAAGGCAACACAAACACACACACACACACACACACACACACACTCAAACACACACACACCAATTGGCATTTAGTTTGTAACTGATGGCAATATTTTTAGTTTTGATAGCACACTCAAGTTTTATTGCTCAACTAATTTGTCATGTGAAAGTTACCTTGGCTTTAAAATGCCCCAAAGCGATAATTGTCGTAGAATAAGAGGTATGCATATACCCGGGCATGCCCGGGCTAGAACTGTCCAAATTCAGTCATATATAAAGCTTGCTCGTATTTCGCCACTTTTATTATGGTTGTGCTCCTTGTGTATTGTAAGTTAAATGAACAAATACAAAAATTGGCAAATAATGCTAAGTTTGAACCGGCGACCATTCGCTTATGGGTCCGGCGCTCCGGCGTTTGCAAAGCAAATTTATGGGAATGCCTTGTTGTTGATTAAGTTAAATAAATAAGTACAAAAATTCAAAATGACTGCTGAGTTTGAACCGGCGACTTCTCACTTGTCGGACCGACACTCAACTGTTTGCAAAGCACAACTATGTGAACTTTTTGATATCTTGCCCTGCTTTTGATTTAATTAAATAATATAAACATTGAAAATGACTGCTGAGTTTGAACCGGCGACCTCTTGCTTGTAAGTTCGACGCTCGGACACCAAAGCAGTGCGGGCTCCTGACGTTACGTTTGCAAAGACCAATTATGTGGCAGACCGTTTTTGATTAACTTTAAAGACAAATATCTAAAATGACTGCTGAGTTTGAACCGGCGACCTCTCCCATGTGAGTCTGCGTAATTGACTGCCTTCCTTTTGATCCCAAAGAGAGATTTTACCTTCGTAGCTCTTGCGGCTTGGGCCGTGCCTTGATCATCCAACAATCAGGCGAAATTTCTTTAATAAAAGTATATATATAGATATAGATGTATGTGTGTGTATATATATGTCGAAACAAACGGGTGAATATATTTTATTATGCAGTCGCTGCCATTGTTGTGGCCAAAATGTCAAAAGCTGTGCAACAGCAGCAACAACGACGAGAACTGAGCCGAAGAGAAAAACTCTGTTTGATTAATACAAATAAAAAGTTTTTAACTGCGCTTTGCATATTTCATGGCAGACGCTCAAAAACTGACGGGCAAACGCGACAGCCTCCCATATAATAGACTGCCCCGGGGGCGCACTCCTGGTCTGGGGCGTGGCACTGGCACAGATGCCAAAAAAAAAGGCGACCAAAATCCAGAGCGCCATCGAGTGGATTTCAGCTCAGGTGCCATGAGGTAGGTCCCAGGCGCGCCATGTCGACGTCGACGTCAACGTGCAAGGACTCACGGCTCGTCCTGCTAGTCCTGCCACCCCCCCCCCTCTGCCTGGGCGAAGGATATTTTATTATTTTACGCGCAGTTCTCATAATTTGCAAGCCCTTTCGCTTAATTGTGACAAATGCGCTTTGTCCAGCAAAAAAAAGCAAGTAGAAAGTATTTCGACAAGACTCGCATAATTTGGCGAGTTGGCAGCACCTCTCACCTGCCCCCAGGTGAACGGCACGGGGCGAGGGTTGGCTGGGAGGCCGGCATTGACAGCGCAAATAGCACAAAAGAGTTGACATAAATAATAAATTTTCGTTTTACGATTTCGCGTTACGCGCAACTCAGGTTGAGCTGCCAATTTGTGGCTGCCAAATTGTGGCTAATAAATATCTGACAGGAGCTTGCTTTCACAAAAAAAGAAACGAAAAAAATAATACAAATAAAATAAATATAAAAAAAAACTGTACACGCTGACGCTGTGTGTGTGTGGGGAGGTCAGGGCTTTAGTTGGGCAAAGAAAAATTGTTTGCACTTCGCCCAAAACTCAGCGAGTGTGAAATTACTTTTGTTTAGGCCCTGTCACAGAGCTCGCGCGCACTTGCACAATTAAAAGCCATTAAAAGCCAGAAATTGTCTGCAAATAAAGCCAAAAACCGAAAGGCTTTGTGCATGTGACACGAGCGCTTCTCGCCGCCAAACTTGAAAATCAACTGCAGTTGTAAAAATGCCTTTACCTTTATCTAATACAAACTCACGAATCGGAGGTAAATAATATATATATACATATATGTAAAGCGAAAACAATCTAAACACGCACCATTTCGCGACTGGAAGCCGTTCACTTGATGACGTCTTGGCCACATGCTTCCAACTGAATCCACAAGAAACAGTTGACAAAGCAACATTTGCTCAATTTCATATATATTATTAGATAATAATGCATGACGTCGCACACAGCTCCAATATATACGAACAGTCCGATAAGGCGACAGACGTCATCGTTGGAAAGTAACTTTAGGCCAGATAATAAATGAGACCATCATATGGGGAATTTTGTACAATAACATTGTCCAAAAGATGAGCAATAGTTGCACACATAAAACAATTCTCGGGAACTTACAGTAGTATATAAACAGAAGAGTATATTAACTGCTGTGGGTTTATTTTCGGCATGTCTGCTGAGATAATCTTAATTGTGCGCTAACCGTTATCATGAGGGTAAAAGTACTTTTTAAATTTGGAAGTCGAATTGCCCGAGGGAAATGTGCTTGACTGGAAGATATCTGCCCATGTCCCTTACCATGGGCTATACTAGATATATGTATATAAATGTGCATATACTAGATATATGTATATATATATACTAGATAAAGTAGATTTGCTAGATATACCAGATATCCCAAATATACCAGATATACCAGATATACTAGTTGTACTACATATACTATACCAGATTGAGTATTTCTAGTAGACTTCTTAAAAGACGGTTTCTGCCTGATATATCTACCATAGAGATAAAGGTATATCAATAATTTATGTGTTAATCAATCAGATGTAAAGATATTCTTTTCGATAAAAGGTTGACAAGCTAAAATATCTGAAGTGCTTTTTATGAGAGACATCGACTAGAACTGTACTCAGACCAAGCTTTCTATAAACCAGCTATAATCGTATCTATATTTCAGAATCTGATTTACATTAAAAGTATTCTTTTTTGTTATGCTCTTCCCTAGTTACAGGGTATATCGAGCTTCGTATACTCGCCACAAAGGCAGTTCGCAGCACTTAAAAGACACGCATCGCATTTTAGTTTATCTCTTAGCACAAAGTAAACTTCTTTATAAATGTACAACTACTTATGACAGATGTGCGAGACATGATTTATATTCACACACACACACACACACTCGCACACACACACTCGCACACACACACTCGCACACACACACTCGCACACACACTGGCACACACTCGCAAAGAGACGCCGCGTTGCGGCTGATAAAAATCATGTAGCGTCCATGTCAGTCGCTAGTTTTTGGCCAAAAACGCGGAGGCAAAGGCTAAAGTTGTAACTGTAAATTGTTGTTGTTGATTGCATTGCAAGCAGCCATTTCTCAGTGGCAGCAAAATGTTGCATATTTTATTGTGGCAGCAACCAGAAACAGCAATTAAAAGACACATAACAACAAATAAGCGTGTCAGGCAACTAAGCGAAACAATAATTAGTAATAACAACAAAGGCTATGCAATTTTTTCAAAAAATATTGTACAGCGCACCGGCTCAGAAGCTAGACAAGGAGCTAGGGGCAGCGGGCAGGGGGGGGGGGA